GCACATCATTTGCAGAATAGCTTAAGTCGAGAAGGGCTATCTGCCAAAGACCCCCGAGTTCGATTACACTCAGCTTCGAGGGCACATCATTTACAGCATAACTCAAGGCTAGAAGGGTTATCTGTGACCACCAAGACCTTCGAGTTCGACTACGCTCAGCTCTAAGGCACATCATTTGCAGAATAGCTTAAGTCGAGAAGGGCTATCTGCCAAAGACCCCCGAGTTCGATTACACTCAGCTTCGAGGGCACACCATTTGCAGCATAACTTAAGTCAAGAAGGGTTATCTGCCAACCAAAGACCTTTGAGTTCGACTACGCTCAGCTCCAAGGCACATCATTTGCAGAATAGCTTAAGTCGAGAAGGGCTATCTGCCAAAGACCCCCGAGTTCGATTACACTCAGCTTCGAGGGCACACCATTTGCAGCATAACTTAAGTCAAGAAGGGTTATCTGCCAACCAAAGACCTTCGAGTTCGACTACGCTCAGCTCCAAGGCATATCATTTGCAGTATAGCTTAAGTCAAGAAGGGCTATCTGCCAAAGACTCCCGAGTTCGATTACACTCAACTTCGAAGTCATATCATTTATCATGGCAAGAAGGGTTATTTGTCAATAAAATTGTCGAGTTCGACTCTATTCAGCTCGACGATACCTCAATCACTACTGTTCGGCTGCAATTAAGGTTTTCAAATCGAGAAGAAGACATGGGTCAGCCGTGACTTAGTGACAATCAACCGTTTCTCCGGCAGTATAGCTTAAGACGAGAAAAGCTATTCGTCAACGAAGACCTTCGAGGTTCGATTTTATTCAGCTCGAGGGCTTATCAACCACAGGGTGGAGTCAAGAAACTACTTTCAAGTCGAATTTTCCAACCCAGATCTTTAAACCGAGAAAAGATCGAGGCGGACTACAACAAGAAGCCACATCCCGATTCAAATCCCGAACGGCGGCTTCAATTCTATATCATTTCGAGATGGACTCGACTTCGCGACGGAGGAGCCATCCGCAACCCAAGACGACAGGGAGTTATTTTTCAACTCCGCAGAACGAAAATTTGTGTCTTTTTATCTTTGTCCTATTTTTCGTTCCACGAAAAAGGACAAAGAGGGGCAGCTGTAGACACTAATTTTCATCGACATATTTTTTTCCTTTATATGTACATACATACATATTTATATATATATATACATATTTTAAAACTACATACATAATATATTGTTTTTAATAGTTTTTAAAACTATATAATGTATAGTTTTTTAAAAAAAAACGTTTTAAAAAAATATATAATATATAATTTTAAAATCATTTTGAAAAATTATATATATAATTTTTGAAAACATTTTTGAAAACACATATTATAGTTTTGAAAACATTTTGAAAACATTTATATATTATATAGTTTTTAAAACGTTTTTGAAAACTTATATAATATTTTTGAAAACATGTTGAAAACATTCGTATATTATATAGTTTAAGAAAAAAACATTTTGAAAATTTATATATTATATGTTTTTGAAAATATTTATGTATATATATATATTATTATTTATTATTATTATTTATTATTATTATTTTCATTTTTTAACTTATTTTGATTTTGTTTCAGGTCCAAATAAGGTCCAAATAAGTCAGAACGGGCCTGAACCAGCCCAGCAAAGGTATGGTCTGAGAACCCTAGGCACGCATGTCAACAGGCGGCGCACAGGGGAAAACCCTAAGACCTCATTGTGCAGCCAGATCTGGACCGTTGGATCTGACCCAATCCAACGGTCGAGATCAAATCAAGGAATATTCCAGAAGTCACACCAACAGTCACAGACGGCGCGAGATTTCCGGCCGAGATCCCCGGGACTGACCCATCCCGGGGTGACCGGTCACAACAGCCACGATCGCCCCTATTTCGGAGCTAACAGGCCACCGGTGGGGTATAAAGACCCCACCAAGCCATTACCAAAAGGGGAGAAGGATCGAGAACAGTACACAACAAGACCCAAACCAGAACCACATTGAATATCACAGAACCGAGAGAACATCGCCACGGGGAACCAAGAACTCATAACATCACAAAGGCCATCAACACAAAAACCACCAAATACCAACAACCGAGAACCCACAAATACATTAAACAAATCGACCAACAACAAAGGTCGAACACAACCAAATACACAAAACCGAAGTACCAACCAAAGGCCTCGGAGAAGCTATCGGAAAACCAGAAGGCGTCGGTTTTAAGGTAAAAGACCCGAACTTTAGGCGTAGATCTACGCCGTTTGGGGTCCCTTTAGGGGAAACGGGCTTCGGATCGGGGTTTAGAGTGACGAGGCGAGTGTTTCGGGCTAAGTGGTTTCTTTTTTGGCCACCGCCGGCGGTGGCCGGCACGGTGGTTGACGCGGCGGAAGGGTCATCGGGCAGGGGCCGAACAACCCCAGGCGAGAGAGCATTCAAGAGAGATTTTTTTTCTCTCAAATTCTGAGAGCTGGAGTGAAATGGTGATAAGGAATGAGAGATATCTGTTTTTGGGTATTTATACCAGGGACTACCGTGTAATTACAGGATAGTTAAATCCTTTCCGCGATCCCTGTAAGTTTGAGTCGCAATCCATTTCAGTCACCATATGCAATTCGGCCACAAGATTTTCAATTGTTTCAATTCGGTCCCCGTTTAAATTTTACATTTTTGCAATTTGACCCCCTAAATTCTGACTTTTTTTATTACCATGCTTGTTAATTATTCTTTTTATTTTCTTTCTTACTTCATATTGTTTCCATTTTATTACTTTTAAAATAATTTTTCTTATTTATTTAATATTTATTTAATTTTAATTTAATTTCTTTGATTTTTTTTTATATATATTATTTACTTTTATTATTATTATTATTATTATTATTATTATTATTATTATTATTATTATTATTATTTATTTAATATCTGTTTTATCATCTAACATTTTCTTTAACATTTTCAGTGGTTCTTTAAATCGGTCAAAGGTAAACAATTCGAGTCGAGTATTTAAATTCTAATTTAAAATTTTTTTATTTTCGCATTTAAAGACAATCGACAAATTAATTGGTACCGAAAGGGCGGTTCAAGGGTGCTAATCCTTCCTTGACCGTAACCGACTCCCGAGCCCGACATATTTCTGGTGAAACGCAGATCAGGTAAGATGGTGTCCGGCCCACCTAAATTCGTTTTAAAGTGGTCGGTGGCGACTCTAACCCAATCAATTCAAGTCGAAGCCCAATTCAAGGGCCCAACCGAAAGGCGGTTGCGACACCACCCCTTAAAGAAGCATATAAAAGTTGAGTCTATGCTCTTTAGCATAGGTTCTTCTTTGAGCCTTCTTTAAGATACTACTTCACTTCACCATCAATTTCTTTCATAAGCATACACCACTTCCATCATCATCCAAAACCAGCCCTTGTTTTCATCATTTCAAGCCCACCGATATACCTTGAACATCATCCACCCTAGCTTATCTCTTTTGAAGCCTTCACTTACTTTGCAGGTTGTTTACTTCATTCCTATATCCACAATCAAACGTAGTCTACACTATATCATGAATGATTTTCCTCTTAAAAATTCTTAATAGATTCTTAAGTCATGTAAGTACCATGATAGGTCTAATAGTATGTTGGGTTATATAGTGTTTGTTGTTGTTGATCGAAAAAACCAAGCACATCAAAGTGATTTTGAGAAGATGATAGAAAGTTGGGTTGATTTCTTTGATCTTGTAGGTTAATTTTGATGGATTCTTTAAGTCAGAAAGTAGTCACGCTCACTACACCAATTGGTGATGGTAAAATGTGGTTATAATGTCTTTTAATGATTCATCCCTTCTAGTTTGAGCGGAAAGCCGCAACCAATTGTTTAATTGGGTTGATGAAGATATACAATGTGGTGAGAGATATCCAAAAAGAATCAGAGTTCAACCCCTTACTATAGCCATGTGTGTTGGTTTTTATATTGGTCTTTAGTGTTGATGTCAGGCTCAGGGTTATGATGACTACTCGTAAGTTGACAAGAAAAATGAATATGATTGTCTGATAGTATATTTGACTTTAATATATCACATGGGTTAGTCAGTTTTCATGTTAAAAGATTATAAGCATCCAAAAGATACGAGACTCTAAAAACTTCAATTGACGAAGAAATTAATCTAAATACCTAACTGACATAGAATTGACAACAAATATGTGACTTATAATAGTATGTTTTTTAAATTGTTCAACCATACTTTTTTAATATCCTGACGTGATTACAAGACAATATATGATCATAATTTTTTTAAATTATTGACAACGTATACACATACTGCAGACGTAACTGATCGAACCCAAGACTTTAAGAGAAAATAATACTCTATTTAATCACCGAAATCACTCAATAAATTGATTTAATTATTTTTAATAATAATAATAAATACTTAAATATATATAAAAAAAACTTAAAATCTTGGATCATGCATTTTCTAGATTTTCTAAAGTTGTCAAAGACATCAACTACATTTTTATTTTAAAACGTTTTAATAAGCCCGAAATCAATAAATGAATTGAATTTTGTAATAATTGATGGATATTTTTCATTCATAAAATTACTATTTAATAAAAAATTAACGAATTTAAGAACATATTTGTGACACTACTTTATCTTTTTCCCCTAATAAACTACGTATTATTAGTAAATGTTTTTCCCCCTTAATCATAATCGAAACAAGCAGCTTGCCTAGGAATGGACCCCACGACCCTCGTTCCGGTACGTCAGCATCTCAGCTAAGAAATCATCGCCGATGGTGCGGGACCCACCGTCACGTGCCACGTTATCCTTTTGGACTATTCATATATCCCCCCCCCATTTTGTTAGTCACAAAACGACAGAAGAAAGTGAGGAAACCATAAAAAAGAATCACCGATACAGATTTACGAAACTGCCCTCGTCAGATATATTTTTTCACTATAAATGGAATTGCTGCCCCCTGTATTTTTCCATTCCTATATTCGAACTCTTATTCGACAAGCTTTTATTTATCTTTTTACAAGCTCTCTTTTTTTTTGGGAGAGGAAAAATGTTGGGAGTATTTAGCAGTGAGATAGTGTCCCCACCGGACGAGTTGGTGGCGGCCGGTTGCCGTACTCCGTCCCCTAAGATATCGGCGGCCGCTCTGGTGAAACGGTTCCTGGAGACGAACTCCTCCGGTGTGTCCATGCAGATCGGAGATCATGCTCAATTCGCTTATTCACACCATAACGAGTCCCCTTTTCAGCCCAGGTAAATTAATAGTTACGTGATATGGGCTGTGCTGGATCTCTCTCGTTGAAGTAAAATTTAATAGAAATTATTCGAACTTAAAACTTTAATTTGAATAGTAGTTTCAAATCATACGAGCCGAGGAATTTCTGTGATTAGTTCGATCAGACAAGTTAAAGATTTTTGGCTGATGATTGTTTCGATGATAAATCACATAGACTGAAAAAGGTGAGAGGCGAAGAAATAAATAACGTGACCTTTTTTCCTTTTTTGATTTAAAAGAAATAATAATCAGATAAAGGTTCGAATCTCAGATGAGATTGAAGATTAATATTTTTATCTAAAAATAAATAGTCTGAAAACTTAATTAGTGCTTGTAGTTGAAGTGATTTTTAAAAATCTAACACTCAATCTATCGCGTTTTCTTAAAATTTTAGAAACAACAAATTAAATATAGTATTATATTCTACTCGGCAAAATAGCTGAATAAATGATTGGGGAGCAATATAATTCAATTCGAGGGTTATTTCTTTATGTAAGGTGAATTATTCTAATTCAGAAATTAATATGGTGGATGTCTTATGTAGTAAAATCATTTTTTTACAATCCTATATAGACGAGAAATTTGATTCTACTTATATAGGTGGGATAAAATAATTTATAAAAAATATATTTATAATAATTTAATTTAATGATTTTAATTTTTAAAAGAAATTATTATGAATTATATTATATTATTTTGAATAATAATATGTTATATTAAAATTTTAATCATTTTATTTAAAATATTTATTATTTTTTAAAACTCATGTATTTTTTTCTTATCAGTTATCACTAACTTTTGATAAAGTATACTTCAATTATTACATGGTGTATTAGTTGGGCTATCCTTTTATAACCCAGCTTTTGAGGTCAGTCCATTTCTGTGAATAAAGCTACCATAATGTATAGGTTGGACCCATGTTTGTCTCCATACCCTTCATTGAGTTTTGTCCTTGGATTTTCCACATCATTATCCCTATTTATTATATTTTTATTTTATAATCATATTTAATGCATTTTATTTCGTATCATAATTATGGTTTTCAAAGTTTTTGGTTTTCCTTTTTTATTTACTCAGAAATTAGTTTAGGTGATTCCTTGTTAATTAAAAAAAATGAAATTCCACAAGATTTTGAATTTTAGCATATTCAATCTTTATATTTATCTATATATTACACTTTGATATTTTATATTATTCAGGGAGGGATGGGCTTGTGTTCTATGATAGGGGATAATTTATAAAATTTTAAAGTTGAAAATATATTATTAATAAAAAATATCTAAAATATATGATAATTTAATTTTTTTAGTGAAAGTCACCTTAATCGAATTATGTTATTGAGGTTTGTATTTGTTGTAATGTTAATGTCAAAACAAATATAAATAAACTCATGTGGCACCACATGAAATATAACATATTTTGTTGTTGATCTGAAGTTGTATGATTGGTAATTATTGGTTATTGAACCATGGCACAGATCATTTGCTGTGAAAGATGAAATCTTCTGCATGTTTGAGGGCACCCTTGATAACTTGGGGAGTTTGAAGCAGCAATATGGGCTTGCAAAGTCAGCAAATGAGGTGATATTGGTTATTGAAGCTTACAAGGCTCTTCGGGACAGAGCGCCTTACCCTCCAAATCATGTGGTTGGCCATCTGATTGGGAGCTTTGCTTTCATTGTCTTTGACAAGTCCACATCCACTTTGTTTGTGGCTTCTGTAAGTCCACTTCTCTTACATCTCTACGATATTTGTATCTGACACTCTATCCAACACATAAATATGTAAATAAATCTCCAAAAAGTTTAGAAATATCTGTTCATACTTTGGGATGAAATTTTGTCAAATTATCATAAATATATATATATATATATTAAATATTTTCTATTGATAATTTATTTTCATTCTTAATTTTTTTTAAGTTGACTCACCTAATATAAAATCTTGCGTCGGTGTAAGTTCATACATGTATTATAAGTCTCACCTACTCTTATCATAGATAAGACTAACACAAGCCTCATCTACTTGATCTTAAATATTATGGTTGGTGTGTAACAACAAATGAGGTGGTATGATAATGACAGGATCAATTTGGTAAGGTTCCTCTCTATTGGGGAATCACTGCCGACGGATATGTGGCCTTTGCTGATAATGCTGAATTGCTTAAAGGTGCCTGTGGCAAATCTCTTGCTTCTTTCCCTCAAGGTGGATTCCTTTAAAACACTTTGCACCTTTATTTTTATTATCATCATTATCCTGTTGATTTGTTAACTTCAAACTCACAAGCTTCATATTCATCTCTACAGGCTGTTTCTACTCCACAGCAATTGGGGAAATAAGAAGCTATGAGAATCCCAAGAACAAGATAACTGCTGTTCCTGCTGAAGAAGAGGAGATATGGGGTGCTACATTTAAGGTAACATAATTTTTTACTTTGTTTCTTTAATGAATTTGGAGTCAGTAACATATATATATATACTGTATCTATTTGTTGGTGAGAAATGGTTTTTGTTTGTGGTCCCATTGTCCATTTCAACCAGGCTGTAAAGAATCACTTAAAACTCCGTTATCTTTCATTTATCAATTTAGGGGTGAGTATTCGATCGAGTCAAGTCCAAAAAATTTGAATAGAGTTGGTGAGTTTTATTTTAGAATTCAAACTTTATTTAAAAAAAATTATAGTCGACTTCTTTCAGTTTTTGTTTAAATTTAGTTGTAATTTTTTATAATGTTATGGTACAATTTGATTCTAAATTTAAATGGTTTTCTATAATTATATACATATATTTCTTCATATTTTTCATATGTGATCTACATATATCTTTTAGAATTGAAGGATCTATCTGAAACTTGAAAATCAATCCACTAATTACTAAAACTTTCGAGTTATTTGAGTTTTATTTCATAACTCAAATTTGAATTTTTTTTCCGAGATGAACTTACAAGTTGAGCCAAGTCGAGTCGAAAGCTTCGAGTTTTGCTCACCCCTATCGATCATTATTGCTTATGTTTGGTGACGTTGGATTTTAGGTGGAGGGACCAGCCGTTGTAGCTGCCACAGAGTAGCTCTTTCCCCTTAGTGTCTAAAGCTATGGATCCATGGAAGTTTATGTTAAAGCAAATGGATCAGCCTCCATGTGAATACCAATAGTGTTGACTATTTGTAGAATGAAAAAAAGGGGGAGGATGACTGTTTGCTTATGAGAAATGGATCAGTATATGTTGTTCTTATCTAGCTTTGTTCTAGTTTCCTTCTTTGTACATCTTGTCAACTTCAACTTCTAGTTTAATAAAGAACTTGTTTGAGCTTCCCAAATTTGGCACCTGGTTTCACCATTTGTGTCTTGATTGTGTCTCTGGAATTTGATTTTGACAGTCCTCTGTATCTTCACCCTTCTGATACACCGGATACTATGCCGGTTTCGCATCAGTTAACAGGGGCTCAGACAGATTGTGGCGTCGCTCGTAGCGTATCGTGCTCCTTGCTATACGATCGGCTTTTACATGTTGATGGGACATCCAAAATCATGGTCGAACAGGACATCCAAAATCATGGCCGAACATTTACTCGTGATCGTTATAAATCAAACACGATAAGTATATATATATATGCAACCCGAATAGGCTCCACAACTATTATGTCCATAAATCATAGAATATACAACTCCTTATTCCCTCTTCAAAGTCGTCTTGAATTTATGTGAGGATTAGCTTTGAACCCACATCCAAGATATTTAATCTTCTAACATCATCTCCAAGATTAGTAATCTTTCATATAAATTTATAGTAGGGAATTTCTAGGCTTTGTGCCCTTTAAATTACCTCAAAAGCCCTTAAATTCATGCTCAAAACTTGATATCATGGCAGCTGGCAATGGTCCCAAATTATTAGCAGGGCAGGGGTTCACGTGACGTGCAATTGGACAACTAGTCCCATGACCTCATCTACTTTGTCTTGAAATACGTCCATAATTGTAAGAAAAACTTTTCATGGTAAAAAATTACTCACAATTATCATTATTAGTTCCTTTGGCCCTCGCTCTAAAATTGTCATGGCAAATAATTCTTTCCTCGATCGTTTCCCATCATATGCATAATCACAACCAACACACAACTCTTCTCATCAACAACATCAATTTTATCAAGAAAAAACTACCCGCAACAAAACTTTCCACCACATGTAATGAAATGCCCTAAATACAACTATATGCAACTAAAATGCTTATGACAATAACTTTTAGACAATCAATAACTTAAGTAAAAAGGCCCAAAATATAGTCCCCAAACTTAATCTATTGCTTGTCCTCCAACAATAAATAATGAGCAATAGAAAAATAAAATGCTATGGCGAAGTATAAATCAGGACAGTCAAGTGATCTAAATTTCATCCCTCATCAAAAAGTTTGGCTTCAACATGCTAGACTAATTGAGAAGTCAAGTACCTTTCCCTAGGTCAAAATCCTTTGTAAGTGTGTGTGTGTGATTATATCTAGTATATGCTTGACAAAATTAGAAAATCCCTAAGTTCTTTTGTTTTGCCAAGACATAAAATTATTAATTAATCAAAGAATTTACTCATATTTATTCAACACTTAAACTTTTACTTGTGATCGTTATAAATCAAACACGATAAGTATATATATATTGAACCCAAATAGGCTCCAAAACTATTACTATTATGTCCATAAATCATAGAATCAATTCCTTATTCCCTCTTCAAAGTCATCTTGAATTTATGTGAGGATTAGCTTTGAACCCACATCCAAGATATTTAATCTTCTAACATCATCTCCTAGATTAGTAATCTTTCATCTAAATTCACAGTAAACATGTAACAACCTGAATATTTACAAAATAGTATTTAATTGAAATTGGAGGTTAATTATGAAAATTGGCGAAAATTTGGGGACTAAATTGAAAGATTTTAAAACTTGGAGCTTGTTTTAGAGTTAAAGAAAATTCAGGGACTAAGCCCTGAATTTACCCAAAAAAGTTAGATAAGTTTGTGGTTATATGTTATATACGTGTGGTTTCTGTTTCAAAAAACAGAAAACCATACTCCCAAATTCCCTTCCCCCAACGCCGGTTTACGACTTAGATCCCGACGCCGTCTGAATTCCGATCGTCGTTTTGAAATCACCGTTGTGTTCATCATCGAGCGAGAAACAAACCCTTCAAATTAATTGAAGAAACGCTGCCAAACGTCGGAATTTCCAGTCAAAGTCTCGACGTTTTATTTAGCTCGATCACCGGGAAAATCTCAAATTCATCACCGATCGTTGCTCCGTTTACGACACCTTCTGCACCATCGTGTTCCTTGTGTCGTTGCGAGTCCGCCGGTGTCAACCTTGTTCGCCGTCGACGGCGCCGCGTGAGGAGGTGGAGCAGTCAAAGATTTGGCCGAGTTGAAATTCGAGCTCTCCGCCGTTCAAAAATTTGAACCGATCGTTGTAAGTATCTCGAAATCGCTCAAAATAATTTTTGGAAATTTTTCCGTAATTTTTAGACCCCCGGAGGTGGTCTCACGCGCCACACGCGCCGCCGCAGGGAGAGTGAGCAGCTGGAAAACCGGTTTCGACCGGTCTGACCCGACCCGACCCGACCGTTGACCTCATTTGACCGACCATTAAACGACCGTTAATCTTTTCCGAGTATACCTATTCTGATAGGTTTCGACGTCCCGAATCCATTTCCGAAGTCCGTTTCGTCAAATTCGAATCCGAAGGCCTCCAAATAGATAGTCAAAGTGGTTGACTTTGACTTTGATCAAGAATTTAAATTTTCGAAAAGTCATACTTTATGTTTTTCGACGTCCTGATTCCGATTCAGCAATCCGTTTGACCAAATTCAGACTCGAAATCCTCCAAATTGATAGTCAAACCTTGAAAATACTTATATACTTAAGAATTTTAGCTTTGAACAATTAAGTAAGATTTGGGGCTGATAAATTATTATTGTTTGAAGGTACAAGAGATGCTCCGGATCGTTCAACAACTCGACCCAGCTCTTCTAGATCAGTTAAACCATGTGTGCCAGTATTCACCCGTAAAACCCGTAAATTTTATGATTTTAGAGATTTATTTATGTTACCCATAAGTAATATAGGGTTATTATAAAATAGGTTCGAAAACTGTAGCAGAGCATGGTAAAACCAGCAATCAGTAGATCTACTATTTGAACCTATTATCGAGGTGTGTTCCCTAATTATTACTGAATTGTTTTATTGGTTTTAATATGAGGTACACTGAGTTCTTTGGTTACTGTTTTATTGATTCACCAATTTAATGTGATGATTTATGGAATTTGTGACACGGTGCAATTGAACTTTTGGATTGAATTACAATAGTATAGCTCTGATCAAGCTAATAAATAGAATGGGCCTAATGTGACTCTTGGGGCCCCAAGATACATTAGGTTGGCTTCCCTTGCTGTGTGCTTAGGGTAAGCTATATGGACTTGGACTTACGGGCCTAAGGATACAAGCTCTAAAGCTTATCCTTAGGTTGGCTTTCTTTTTGATGTGTGCTTAAAGTAAGCTATATGGAAAATAGTTTTGGGAACTACTGATGGTGTACAAGAAAAGGGTTTAAACTATGATTTTCAAAAGTTAAACTCTTTTATGAATTTATGAGATTTACTGGACTATGATTTGTTTAATGTACCTATTGTGATTTTAAGGTAATATTGGGACACACTGAGCCTAGCTCACCTTTCGAAAATGTTTTTCCCCTTTCAGATACTGTTGGTTAGATATCTCGGTTCGAGCACTTGGAGGATAAACATATCTCTTGAAGTATATCTAATTGTAATGTTTTATCTTGCTAGTTGACTTTATTTTGGTGACATGGACCTTATTTTAAAGTATCGTATTTTAGGATGATGACACTTTTACTATTACTGTTTGGTTTATTGTGATTTTGATTTTGAAGACCTGTTTTAAATAATTTATTACTTATTGGTATTATATTTACAAGTTGGGTTTTGATAGTATAATATCATGTCATTTATAATGTGATTTTACAATGATTGAATAACGGTTTCAGAAAATGTCTTTAAGAATCATGTATGTGATCCACTAGACTTAGTCGAAATGCATAGGCCGGGTCTAGGGGATTACATTTATTGGTATCAGAGCTTTTGGTTTTTAACCTTCGGACTGTGTATGAGTCCATATTAAAAATACGGTTTTGAAATATTTTACAAAACAATTTACAAAGGCTATGCCACAAAATTATTAAGATTTTTAAATTGTGCTCGAGACTCCAAGTGCTTATCTAACCCTAAGTTTTATCTTATGTAGTAAACTTGAGATCCATCAAAATAAGTATTAGACGTGGTCGTCGAACTAGCCGTGGACGAGGTCGAGTGGCTAGATTTGCAGATCCGATTGATGAGATACGGGTAGATCCCCCACCTCCGATAGGTAATCCTGCTCCTACGACCCCAACGAATCTGCCTCCTGTCGCTGGTATTGGCATGACTACACCGATCATAGGAGCGACCGATATTGAGTCAGAGTCTACCGGAGTTGCTTTGGATGAGAATTTTGGTAGACAATTTCTGCAGTTGATACAGGGAGCAGTCAGAGCTACTGGTGTTGTATCAGAGGTTCCTATTTCGCAGACTTTGATTGCCAATGGAGTTAGAACTTTTGGGGGAAAGATTGGTGGAGCTCCTACTGAAGCTGAGAATTGGCTCCAGGATACAGAGAGACGCATGAATCAGTTGAGTTTAGACTCAACTAAGAGATATCAGGGTGCTGTGGCGATGTTAGATGGCAATGCCTACACTTGGTGGGAGTCAGTGACCAGTAGTGTTTCTACCGATCGTTTGACCTGGAATTTCTTTAAGGATCGGAGTCGTTTTCTGGGAGAGCGCTACTTTGCTCAGAGACATCAGCAGTTTCAAGACATGGTTCAGGGAGACATGACTGTTTCTGAGTATGAGATCGAGTTCTTGAAGTTGTTGAAGTATGGATTAAGTATGGTACCTACTGAGAGAGATCGATGTCGTAAATTTTCCCTTGGACTCAGATACGAGCTGCGTAGGCAAGTTGTAACCCATCAGGATGAGATATTTGATGTGCTAGTGGGCAGAGCCAAAGATGCTGAAGAGGTGGAGATTTTAGCTTCTGGTAGAGAGCGTGTTGAATAGGAACGATCTAAGAAATTTTCAGGCCCGATGGAGTCATCAGCACAGTTCGGGAAAAGGACTCCTACTTCAGTCCCTCAG